TTAATATTATAATTTTTATCAAATATGCATATATATTTTAAAAAATCATAATCATTATGTTTTACTTGCACTATGGATCGGATTGGTTTTTAAAGATAAAAGAACAAGGCAATGAATACTAAAGAATAAAAAATTTCGTGATATTTGTTTTTTTTAATTTGAAAAGAATAGCGATATTTAGATATGATCTACAATAACAAATATACGCACATAATGTGTGTTAATAAAATCACTTTACGCGTACGGGAAAAACAGCTTTACACGCGTGAAATACATCCTAACGAAGACTTGTTCATTGAATTAAAAGCATGAGCTCCGCACTTCGAAGGCCTCAACAGACTCCAAAGAAGACATCTCTTGTCTTTAACACCACAGCTGTCATCGGCGTCCGCCACCGCCATATCTCCGGTGGCCACCGGTGGAAACATGGGTAATGGGTGGTTTCTTCTGTTTTGTCTTCTCTTTAAATCACTTAGCTCCATCTTCTGCGGTATCTTTGTTACCCCAATCAAAGCCTTGTGTTGTTTGACCGAAGATGAGCTTTGAGACCTACAACTTTTGGTTGATAAAAAAGTATTTGACTTGAAATTCAGAGAGTAAAGAGAACCCAAATCATATTTATTTCTGTTGAATCGCCTGAACGAGGATAAAGGGGAACGAGGCCTACTTTGATCAGCATCGCCAGCAACAAAGTCTCGTTCTTGGATGAGTTTACCACAGAAAACGATGTCGCTTTTGGTGTTTTTCAAAGGAGTGTTGGGAATGAAAGGAAACTCAAAAAGTTGAGGATCATGACGAGGAGAGTCACAAAGAGGGAGAGTTTCTTCAAGCTCTTCTTGGTTAATGTTATAAAATGCATTTCCCTTTGCATCCATGTTTTGAATTGAACAATGGAATGTATTTGAAAAGTTTGGTAAGACGTTTTGGTTTTTATAGGTGTTTGGTTTGGGCTTCTAGCGGATGAGGTGGTTAATAGTTATGAAATGACACATGCCTTGAGAGGAACGCTTTCTAGATGGTGTGAGGGAACATTAAATTATGTAGAGGGAGAAGACTTACTAGAATCATATTTACTAATGAAACGGGGAAATTTGACTAAGTTACTAGGAAACACGACGCATACACAATAATAGTATTATATTAACTAATACAAATTGGTACAAGGTTTACTTTATCTAGAGACAAGATTTTAATACGACATATATGCTTTACTATTATAAATTTTATAATTGAATGTGTATATTTTATTTTATAATTAATAATACTTCTAATTCATTAGTCGAAAATAGAATATTTATAATTTATTATTTGAAAAATGATATTTAATAACAACAATAGAAATATAATTTAAATGTGAACAGTCAAAATATAATGATACAAATAAGATGAAAATAGATTGAACATGTCGTAACATCACAGCTTGAACATGTCATAACATCATTTGCAGAGTAGTAAATGCATCGTATACTAAAGTGACAATGGAGATCTAACAATTCTTTAATCTCTTTAAGATAAAATCGAAACATCGAGAGATCATTAAGAGAGTTATCCAATTAATAGATGATATTAAAAAAATCACTATCAATAATTACTTATGGGAACTCCAATTTAACCATCAAACGAATGCTAAAACAAATGACACGTGTCTCAAGAACACGAACATTACGGGAACCCAATAATGGAAGAGGTCGACCCTCCAATACCAAACCATGGGCATCACGAGTTAGGAGACCTACGTCACTAACAAATTTTAAATAACAGCAATTTTACTCTCTTTTTGTTGGGATCTTTTTTCAGCTTTTTAATTGGGCTGGATCTAATATTGAGTTTTCCCGATTTGGCCCAATAAAAGAAGCCCATTTTTTTTAAGATCGGTCCAATCGGTTTATCCAGTTCGTAATTTGCAGTTCAAATGTGTTTTTCTCATATCCTTGATTCTTATGATCTTATAGGGATTATGGATTGGTCTATTCGTCAATTCTCGGTTCGAATGGCCGGTTGTCTGATTCTAATAATAATGACTAAAAAGTTAATTTAATAAAAATAAAATATATTGATATTTTTACCTCTTAATTTTTTTTTATTTTTTTCTCTTTTAAATACTATTATTACATATTATATTATGAAAAATTCTACAACGTACGTCGAGCAAGGATGGGTACCGTTAACAATGGGTACCATTAAATTAATTTATAAAATTTTAAATTATAAAATACTAAACGTATAATTATAAATTAGTTAAAAATTTAAATGAAAATTAATTAAAATACAATATTTATTAAACATTAGTTTTTCGGGTAAATTATACTATTAATAACCTAACTATTTGCCCCTTTTACTTTAACCACCAATTTTTTTAATTTTGTCAATCGGATCACATAACTATTTAAATCTTGTCAATCAAATCACTTGCCGTTAAATATTAACAGAGGAGATGACGTGGTAGTCAGTAAAATTTGTATAATTACACATTTAGTCCTAATTACTTATACATTCTATTAATTCAATAAATTTAATCCTCAATCATATGGTGACATGTGTCACTATGTGATTGAATTTTTTTCTTAATATTTTTATTTAATTTAATAAATTTCCCATCAAATCAAATGGTGTCACATGTAACCAATTGAATGAATAGAAAATTAATTGAGTTAATAATCGCTGTTGGTGGGGTTTGAACCCTAGACATGAGGAGAGGAAGTAAAACGACACAACTATTGGGTTACACCATTTAAATGACAAACCTATCACGACATAATATATATAGCTAATGACAATAAAAAAGAGAAAATAACCTAATAAGAACTCCAACATGGAATAATTGAATAATACAATAATATGATATATATACACAAATATTATAACTGATTAATATTTGTATATCTTTTATTTATATTTTAAATCATTTTAATGAAAAATAAAAATAATTTTAATATATTATAATTGAAATACAACGAAGAGCTTCGTTGACTTTAAAATTTTCCTGATAGTTGAAGGTTTATTAATTAGCATTTTAACTTACGCATTGATTTGTTTATATTCCGGTTATAGTAAGAATTTTATATTTTATTATTTATTCATTATATATTTGAAGAAAGTTTGAGGTGAACTTGATTTTATTGAATTATTCTATTTTAATATAGAGTTGTTAAATAAAATTAGAATTCGATTGACGTTATAATATTTTAAAATATAAGATATGATGCGTTTAATTTAATAAAATTAGAATAACGAAGACAATTTATTAATTTAAAATATGTAAAATAATACATTTCAATTATAACATATTAAATTCACTTTTATTTTAATTTTTACATTAAATGTGATTTAAAATATAAATAAAACATATTCATTTATTAATCAATTATAATATTTGTTTATATATATTTTACATTTTTATACTATTTAATTATTTCATGTTTGAGTCCTTATCAGGTCATTTATTACTATTAACTATATTATAAATATATAAATTATGTTATGTATATTAAATAAATTTAGTGGTTCAACTTAGTGGTTAGGATGCTAAGCTTTTTAGCTTGTGTCCCAAGTTCAAACCCCACCAGCAGTGATTATTGATTTAATTTATTTTCCATTCACTCAATTGGTGGCACATAACACCATTTGATTGGATGAAAAATTTATTAAATAAAAAATATTAAAAAAAAGTCTATCACACAATGACACTTTTCACCATCGGATTGATGATTAAATTTATTAAATTAAATAAAAGTTAGAATGAAATTAATAGAATGTGTAAGTAAAGAAGTCTAAATGTGCAATTATACAAATTTTATAACTGCCACGTCATCTCCTCCGTTAATATTTAACGACAAGTGTCTTGATTGACAATGTTTAAATAGTTAGGCGACCCGATTGACACAAATAAAAAATCAGTTGTTAAAGTAAGAGGGATAAATAGTTAGGTGGTCAATTGTATAATCTACCCTAAAAACTAATGTTTTATAGATATTGCATTTTAATTACATTACATTTAGATTTTTAATTAATTTATAATTATATGTTTAGCACTTTATAATTTAATGTTTTATAAATTAATTTAATAGTGCTCATCATTAACGATGCTCATTCATGCTCATCGAGCGTGACAACATCATCTTTATATCATACATCTGTTTAAATTTGAATGAATAATAAATTTATTTATTTTAGTACGAATCAAACTGTTAAAGTGATAATTGTTATTTTTAAATATCTTACGTCTAAGCACAAAAAATTATAAAATATTTGAATTTTCATTGTTAAATGATAAAAAATGTTTAGAATAAATCATTTTAGATTAATAAAAATATTTATTTCATATTTATTTATAATTTATAATTATTTTTAAAAAAAATAATATTTTACTATTAAACTTATAATTAAGTTACTTTGTATAATTTACCTAAATTATATATGATTTTGTCATCTCTCGTAGCCAAGTCTCGTCTTTCCCTGCACAATTAATTTACTTCAATAATTGAAAGAGTTATTATTATTGTTATAGATCATGGCTCGAATACCAACAATTATAAGAATAATTAAATATTATTATCAAATAAAATATTTAAAAATATTTAAAACATTTATTAATTTTTAATCACCGTTAAATAAATCTAAAAAAATCTGTCTTTTTCTAATTCCTATTTGATCCAATCACCTGTGAGGGGAACCTCGACTTGCGCTCCCTACTATTTGATCCCATTCAGCTTAAATCTCCTGCGCCAGTGCCTGACGTAAGCCCTCTATTGCCTTCAAGCTTCCTACGTACCAGAAATTTTAATTAGCTACTTTCTTGATCCCTTTACTTATCATGAAGATTTGATTTCTAGTTGAGTCATGAAATTTTGAGGTATAGCTCGTGTTATCTGCTCTCTGCTATATTTGTTTTCCGTTTTGGGCCCTACTGCTGACCCCTCTCCTCCTCCTCCAGGTCATGTAGCAAGCCTTCTATTGCCTTGAAGTTTCCGACGGACCAAATTAAATAAGGTAGTTTTTGAAACCCTAAACTTAACTTGAAGATTTGATTTCTTCTTTTGAGTTATCTTGTCTCTGCATCTGCATCATTCTAGTATATTTAATTTTCTGTTTCCATTCCTACTGCTCGTTACTGTCTCATCTCATCATACTATCTCTCTTTTTACTTTGTTGAGGAGATTTTTTTTTATAACAGCTATCTGTTTAGTTAAGTGGTAGACATTTTGGTTAAACTGCTATTTCCGGCCGCAGTCTGCTGCTATTGATGTGAAATTTGTTCACATTACTATTGAGGTCTTTGGCAGTGGCCGCACACTGCAATGCCACAGCAATTTGAAACGCTGATCAGAATGCAGAAATTTGTCTCTCTCTTTTCCTTTTCATTTTGTTACAGTTAATAGAAGGTGGTTAAGGAAATAATGATCTATACCGCGATTGACAACTTCTACTTAACAGATGAGCAGCTAAAGAACTCACCGTCAAGTAAAGATGGCATAGATGAAGCAACTGAAACTACACTAAGAATCTATGGCTGTGATCTCATCCAAGAAAGCGGAATATTACTTAAATTGTAACAATTTCTTTACTTTTGCGTTTAATTTTAGTTATATAAGTCATATATTATAAGGATTTTTTTTGGTTACTTTCGATTTCATTAATTTTGTACCTGCAGGCCCCAAGTTGTCATGACCACTGGCCAGGTTCTTTTCCATCGTTTTTATTGCAAGAAATCATTTGCCCGCTTTGATGTCAAGGTTAATCTCTTTTAATAATTTCTTTGGCTGTTTTAAATTGGGAGCAAGAGAAGAATCAGTGTTAGTTATCTATGATTTTGTTTTGTGTATGAAGAATTACACATTTGAGTTGTAATGGTGGTGTTTCTTTCTGCATCAAAATTAGAGGAAAGTCCTAGGAGAGCGAGGCAAGCAATCATAGTTTTCCACAGAATGGAATGTAGAAGAGAACTTAGCAATAGACATTTGGACCTATATTCAAAGGTGAGATTGATACGTTCATTATATGGACAAATTGAGCACTTCCTTTTCAGAACATGTTGTCTAGTCTTTCTTCATAGTGATTATTCCATACTTTCTGTTTGTTATTTGCAGAAATTTTCAGATTTGAAAGCAGAATTGAGCAGAACAGAAAGACACATACTGAAGGAGATGGGTTTCGTTTGCCATGTTGAGCATCCCCATAAGTTCATATCAAACTATCTTGCAACCCTTGGAACACCTCCTGAGTTGAGGCAGGAAGCATGGAATCTCGCAAATGATAGGTACTTTTGCAATGCAATCACCAACCAATCACAATGTTTCTCTTGTTAGTGCATGTTGTGTTTGCTTATTTAGTTATTTTACATAATCAGTATTGACTGCTGTGTTCCGTATTAATTCTATATGCCAAGTGTTTGTATGTAAACCAAAATGGCTCTGCTGTTATGATTAGTTTATATTTGAAGTTATATAGCAACTTCAATTCCCAATTGTAACTCTGTGGAGATAGGTATTGGGATTTGTTCTTACTAGTATGTTACAGTCCTTCCAGTGAACCAAACAATTTCACTCGACAACCATAGAACATTGATTTGAAAATATAATACCAAGCATAATGTTGTGGACCAGATATTTTCTTTAACTGGAATTAGGAAAATGACATTACCAGAAAGGGGGAATTTCAGATATTTACTTGATTGCGCATAACTCTTAAGAAGAGGTTCAACATTTTAGAAATCTTGAAAAAGAAAATCAGGTTTGATTACAAATCAAATGTAGATTATAAAGATTCCATTGATATAATTTTGAATTCCAAGTGGTTATATACTAGTAATTTTCTACCTGTGATTTATGCCAAGTATTGACATAGAAATGGACGTGGATGATGTACTGCTAAATTGTAATTGCTTTGAAATTCTGGTTGCAGGTAACATGTATATATTCTTTTTGTTTCTTTTTTATCTCTAATGGTTTGAATCTTCTGCATTTAAATGTTTTTGTGTGAATTGATTTTTCTAGTTCCGTATTTGGGTAACATGATCTATGAATTGCCTTAAAAAGGTCCTTGCTAGTGTTTACTTTTATAATAGGATTCTTTACATTTAAATGGAAGTTCTAGTGTATCTCATTTTTAGTTTTTGCTGTCAATTACCTGCTCATTGAACCACTAGCATGTTATTACTCTTTCTTTTGGTGGAACTTACTCTCTTTTCCTGTATTTCTGTTTGTCAACTCTATTTAAAGTAGCTTACGTACAACCTTGTGTGTTCGATTCAAGAGTGAGGTCGTGGCATGTGGGGTTGTATATGCTGCTGCTCGAAGGTTCCAAGTACCTCTTCCTGAGAATCCACCATGGTGGAAGGCTTTTGATGCAGAGAAGTCTGGAATTGATGAGGTTTGTAGGGTTCTGGCTCATTTGTACAGCCGTCCCAAGGCTCAATACATTCCTGTCTGTAAGGACGGAAAACCATTTACATTTTCCACCAGGTCTGCAGATTCACAATCTCAGACTACTCCAAAGGTAAATCCGACTTTTAGTTTCTCCCCCCCAAGTTTCACTGGTAGGACGCGCTGCTAAAATATATGTTTTTGAATTTTTTATTATATCTCCAAGCGCATGGTGATATATGCAGAAAGTACTGCTAATGTCTTCTCTAGGTGGTCAGCTGGATCACTAATTTTATGGTTATGTACTAATGGCTACACCTATGGCATGAAAGTAAGGGTAGCATTGAGGAATTCCAGAAGTTTATTATATGATATAGCTACATCCGACATAAATGAGCACTTTAGGGTAATCGAATCAGGTCAAGTGAAATTCTGTTACTGTTTTGCAGGAAGTTCCCCCGAGTCCGCTATCTAATAATATGTCAATGCTTCAGACAACAATGTAGTTGCAACTGACACGGAAACAGAGGGAGCCAAAGAAGTTAAAATTAAAATGGCTTTTGACAAGCTGAAAGAATCCAAGCAGAGTGACGATGAATCCAAGAGCATGCCTACAGAGGGTGATACAAGAGAAGAACACAGGCATAAATCCAAGTCTGAGCATAAGACAGAATCAAGTGGAGAAAATCAAGGACTGGGACAGAGAAAGAGAAAGAGAGAGAGAAGCGAGAGAGTAAAGGCCCGTGATCGTGATAGGGCAGATATTCTGACAGGAAAGAGAGCGATGAGACGGAAAGGGACAGAGATGAACTCAAGGGTCGAGGTCATCGATCGAAGGATAGAACAAAGGATTCAGGTTGTTTGTTTTAATCTTGTAACAGATGGATTCTATATTTCTGATTTTGACTACTACCTCGTATATGATTTGTCTAACCAAACCAGTAACATCTATGATCTTCTATCAGGAGGGCATTTTGAAAAATCAAGGCACCACTCATCACGTGGTATGTTTTTTTTTTTTACCTTTCCACAAAGTTTCAGTTTCACTATAGATTAGTTCACAATCTGAACCTTTTCTCTTTTCAGATCGTGATTATCGTGGCTCATCATATTCGTCAAGGGAGAAGGATCGTCACAGACACCACTCATATGCATAGAACAATCTTCAAGGTGATTCATCTTTGTACATTGTAGCCATAAAGCTGTTGCATCTTTGCACATTCAATTGCAGTCATAGGTTTGTTCTGAGCAGTTGACCATCCGCGTTTGAGTTGGACCATCACCCAATCAATTATCACCACTTATAATGTTACCCTCATACTAATTGTAATTAATTAATTAATACTAATTGAGTTGTAATGAACAATTTTTATTGCCTCTTCCGATCTTCAATAGCCATGTTTTGGGATGAGTAATAATTGAGTTGCCATTGACCTACATTTTTTTAAAGAAAAAAATATTGTACATATAATACTGTCGAATTTTCTACACTGATTTATTTGTAACCCTTTCAATCTTAACTAACATTATTCTATCCTAATTTTCAACTAAATTAATATTTGGTCGGTGATTTTGTAACATCCAATTTAGGGGTTAAATTTAAGAAATTATAAAGTGGTGAATTTAATTAGTATTTTGGAAGGAATTGGAGATTAAATTGTAACATTTCAAGTTGGCAGACCGTTTTAAGAAGTGCATGGAAGTTCAGTGACTAAACTCATGGTTTACCATTTTTATTATGAGTTGAAATAAATCCCCATTCCGTATGTTTTTAGAAATTTTTTCAGATTTTCCCTTTCTGATCAACCAACTTTCAACTTCGATCTACTCGCCGTTGACCTCCGATCGACAAGCCGAAACCACATCGTGTTCGTTGTAACCGAGGAACAAAACCCCTCAAACCTTTCGTCGTGAATCATCGCCGTTCGTCGTGAATTTCAGTCGGAAGTATCGTCGGTAATAACTCGGTTTTAGTTGGTTTTCATAGATTCACGACGATCGGGTCATCCGTTTACGACACCCCACCATCGTGTTCCTTGTGCCATTCTGAGTCCACCTGTGTCCTCCCTTTTCTCCGGCGGCGGCGGCACGTGAGGAGGTGAAGCGGTCAAAGTTTTCGATTCATTGAAATTGAGATCTCTACCGTTCAAAAATTGAACCGAGCTTGTAAGCATCTCGAAATCGCTTAAAATAATTTTTTAGGAATTTTTTCGGGAATTTTTCGATATCAGGGCACTGTTCACGCGCCCCACGCGCCGCCACTGCGCGTGGGGAAGGAAAAATGACCGGTTTGACCGGTTTTGGTACATAGTTGACCGGTTTGACCAGTCATAACTTGACCCGACCCGACCCGTTGACCCGACCCGACTCGACTCGTTGACCGTGACCGGCGTTTTGACCACTGTTGACTAAAACTTTGACTGGCTTTGACTGGGCATTAAACGACCTTTGACTTTGACCGAGTATGCCTATCCTTACATTTTTCGACGTTCCCAATCCAATTCTATCCGCGTTGACCACTGTTGACCAAAACTTTGACTGGCTTTGACTGGGCATTAAACGACCTTTGACTTTGACCGAGTATGCCTATCCTTACATTTTTCGACGTTCCCAATCCAATTCCGCTATCCGTTTTTCGAAATTCGAACCCGAAGGCCTCGAAATCGCCGGTCAAACCCGTTGACTTTGATTTTGACCGAAAATTCTAAATTTCCGAAAAGTCATATTTTATACTTTACGTCCTGAATCCGAATCCGAAGTCCGTTTCGCCAAATTCGAACTCGGTAAGCTATTTTTCACTTATTTATCACCCGATTCGATCCGTTTATCGCAATTAAGCTCCGTTTCTGATATAATTTATGTTGATATGTATCTGAGAAATTATTGGAAGTTGAATTGAAGATCAAAGGCGTTCGAATGGGATTTTTATGGTCGATCAGTATTGCACGGAAATCGAGGTAATACTTTACTACCTCTTTATGCTTTATAGAACATATTGGTATTGATAAATGCATGAATGGAAATGTTTGGTCTCGTATGTATAATTAATGAAGATCTACACTAGATACTAATACGGTAGAAAGTAGGTAACTGAATATGGCTCAGATTACTATTATAAGAAATTGGAGGACAGATGGAATTAAATTACAAGTTCTTGAATTAAGTG